TTCTCCTTGCCAACAACTGATCTCACCGGGCGCGACTTGGCAGAAAAGTGAGTGACGGCATGTCGCGATAGTGACGTCATTTGCCGTGACGTCGTAACTTTCGGATCAAATCCGAAACGTTGGAATTTTTTCAGGGCGCACATTTTACTCGCAAACGCGTGACATCATCGGCCACGATCCATCCACTGCTGGACAAAGGCCCTGCACCAGCTGCGAGACAGCCACCCACCTCCCACAGTCTCACGATGCAAACGATCCGTGCACCAGAGCTGAATTCCATCGCTCCATCTCCTCCGTGGAGGTAACCCAAGCTCTCGGCATCGTTCACATTCCGCGCACATTTGCAGAAGCCTTGGAGTGAATTAGTTTTGTACAGGTGTTGGCTATCGTGGTGCCTTACCTAGTAAGATAACAAACATTATTTCGTTTAAATTGTTTCGTCAATGGGCAGTGTTAGTCGATGGACACTGTTGAGTCTATGGGCAGTGTTGAGTCTATGAGTAGTCCGTATATACTGTATGTATGTTGAACTTGTTTTGCACCGTACGTTACCAATCGTGCTAATTTGAGGTGCCCGGTAGAGGGGGGGGGGGGCAACACAAATAATATCTGGGTAATATAATCCTCGCACTTAAATATCCAATCCAAATATTGAGCGCTCCATCTCCTCGCAATTCTGACTTTCTCTCCCCAGGCAAATGCACTCACACTAATGAGTGCCCTGGCGCAGGATCATGATGGCCCATTCCCACGCGAATCGTTATTATTAATAATTAAAGGCGTCTTCTTTGGTTCTTTCGGTAAAGTCACGTAGAATGAGAATAATGTTTCTTCACCTGAGGACGGCTACTTGTGTTGTGGCCGAAACGTCGTGAGTATTGCATTGTTTTATTTTATTATTTTATTCTCATTCTACGTGACTTTACCGAAAGAACCAAAGAAGATGAATCCTTGCAGTCACGAAAGCTTTGAATCGAAAATTAAAGGCGTGTTTTTTCTTCATCTTCTTCTTCTGACAGTAGGACCCCTTGGGTGATTTTGACAGAGGAGCAAGCCGCCGGACACGATATTTTATTGACAGCTGCTGCTGATAATCAACTATAAACCATACCCTCGGGAACAAACACAAAACTGCTGTTTGTGTTTAGTTTGTTGTCCTTCCCTTCCGCACGGTTGGCTACATACGGTGCGAAATAATGTCAACATACATAAGCAAACTTTAAATTAATTAAAACATTTACCAGGTAAGGCCCCACTGAGCTACATAGCTATTTTTTTCTGAAGCGACCTGGCTATCACAAATGATAGCTCAACAAAGTAGCTTATCATCATCACGTGGAAATGTATAGCAATCAAATCATCTAAACGCGTGTTTCTATTTTGTTTGAGGGGGGAAAACCGGAGGACCCGGAGAGAAACCCACGTGACCACGGGGAGAGAGAGCGAGACGCAAACTCCAAATCGACAGCAGCAGGCGTTAGGATCGAACCCACGACCTCCTGTACACCAGGCGAGGTAGTTAACATCCCTAAACAGACGTACAGCGGCGGTGGTGGTGGCTGGTGCCTGTAAGCTCAGCGCTGTGGAGGCGAGGGTTGGTGGATTACGTGCAGATGCTGTGTGACATGTTGTTTGTCGTTTATTGTGAAAATTCGGTCACAGTTCCTATGATCACTGTTACATTGCTTTTATGGCTTTATGTTGGTGATGTCGAAAACGTTTTTTGGTTTGGCCATGTTTGTTTGTTGTAGTACGGAGTTAGACTGATGGCCTTAATCTAAGTTGTCTTGTGGTTTTTGCACACAGCGTTGGTGTATGGTGCTTTTTCATGAATATTTTGCTGTTTTTTCCTGGACTTTCTGTTTGCACAGTCACATAGTCACTTTAAGATGTTTTCTTGTTCATGTGTTTTTTTTGTTTTTTGCTTGTTGCGGTTGCACCCGATTCAAGAACCGAATGGCTCACAGGGCTATACCAAATAAATGAAAACTGAAACTGAAAACTGACACTCCATACCTTCTCATAAGCGTCAAGGAGGCGCCAGGTAGGAGGCGGTACAGTCACAATGTGGACTCCACCTGCTCCATCTCCATGGGGGATAGAGTGTTTCCCCCTCGCACTCATGGGGGCTTTGCCCGGCCGCTCCGGTTTCCTCCCACACACAAACTTTCACTCTTAGAGCGATGACGCCTCAAAATGCAGATCAGCGCAGAGCTTGGGGCAATCGTTGGTAGCGCCAACCCCTCACCACTGCGTGGCTGTTGCTGCCTTCCCACTCCTCGTCTGTGGTTCCCCCCGGCGCATCCTCCGAGTCACGCCCCTCTCTTTCTCTGCGTCGTTCCCTCTCCGAGTCGTCCCCTCTCTTTCTCTCTGCGTCGTCCCCCCTCTCTCTCGGAGTCATCCACTCTCTCTCCCTCTCTGCGTCGTTACCTCTCTTAGTCGACCCCTCTCTCTCCCAGTCCTGTCTCACTCTCTCTGCGAGACCGATGAGCGGATACCGTGCGGTGGTGGCGGTGCTCCGTTACAAGTTGACTTTGTTTAGAATTATTGACTTACATCGTTTTCCCCCTGCATATTAAAGCAAAGTTGGGGGATGCGTCTTATAATCGGGTAGGTGCGCGTGTGCGTGTGTGCTGCACTACCAGCCCGGCGTCACCCAAGTTGTATTCCCGCTCACGGCCACCACCGACATCCATAACGATTATTTGAACCGGGTGCTAGGCCTACTCCTAGGTCGACTCAGCCTCAAATGAGTACCTGGTGCGATGTGCAGAAACATTGCTACTCGGGAGACAAAGGCGGCGGGCGTGGTATTCGCCAGCCACCTGTGCCGTTCCGGCCTTCGTAGGTGCTACTCGCAAACAGCGCTTGCCCCAATCTTAAGATAAGGTTCGTTTCTAGGATGGATGATGATGATCATGATGATGATTACGAGGATTGTACGGTGCGAAAGAAGTTCGACAGACGTTCATTACAGATCTGATTATTCGATTCCAAGTAATCAATCAATCTTCCACAATTCACGGGGAGAGATCGCACAGCGGGCAGATGGAGCAGCGATGCAATCAACGGAAATGCTTCCCGGGAAGAGCTGCATCGCAGAGTTGTGAAAAGTGGCGGTGGCTTTCATCCAGCAGTGGATTGACCATGGCTGATGACGATAGCGGCTGCGGTGGCGACTATCAATAAATCACATCCAATGTTTCTTCCTGATATTCTACCGCCCAGAATTCAGCCTTTAAAGTTCCTTTGTTAAAAATAGGCACAGCCTGGACAGATAAGACTCTCTCTCTCCGCTCTCCCCTCTCTCTCTCCTCTCTCTCTCCGCTCTCCCCTCTCTCTCTCTCTCTTAGTCTCCATCTCCTCCCTCCAGACAATCCGATTCTCTGCGGCAGCTGGCGTCTTCAGCACCTTCCATACTGATACTCATCAGCAGCAGCACCATCCTTACAGATAACAATCAGCTCCATCCTTACTTTTGAACACCATCAGCAGCAGCAACAAGCATGACTAATGAACACCATCATTATGATGATGATCATCAGCATGATGATCATCACCATCAGCAGCAAGCGTAATTGATGATGACGTCCAACATTATAATTATCGTGGTCATCAACACTTCGCCCTGCCCGTCACACTCACAACAGACTAAGATCCCCCGGCTAGCCTCCACAGAGGGTTGGGGCAAGTGCTGTCAGCGAGCACCTATCAAGGCCGCCGGCACGGCGCACGGAGGAGGGAGAGTGTGACGGGCAGCCACGCCCGGCCGGCCGCCTTTGTCTTCCCAGCGTTGATGTTTACACGCGGCGCATCCAGGTTCTAATCATGTTAACGCTGAGTAGACTTAGGGGGCAGGAGTGGGTGACTGAATGAATGCACGAATGGGAACGAATGAGGCCTGACGGGTCCCAGCTTGGGTCGATGCGAGTAACTCCACCATCCTGTGCACGATGCTCACTCTAAATATAGTCTCGGCGCATCACATCCGCGTCATTACCCACGGCTAGCCCCACCACCACCACAACCACCGTATACCCTTTAACACCACCACCACCGCTACATACCCTTCAACACCACCACCACATACCCTTCAACACCACCACCACAACCACCACATACCCTTCAACACCACAACCACCACATACCCTTCAACACCACCACAACCACCACATACCCTTCAACACCACCACCACCACCACCACATAACCCTTCAACACCACCACCACAAACCCTTCAACACCACCACCACCACATACCCTTCAACACCACCACCACCACAAACCCTTCAACACCACCACATACCCTTCAACACCACCACATACCTTTCAAAACAACCACCACATAACCTTCAACAAAACCATCGACAGCACCACCAAATACCACCACCACCGCGAGCAGTACTCCCATTGCCACAACCACCACTACAATCAGTGCCACACTCAACCACCAACCCACTCGCCCATCTTCAAAATCACCCGCTCACCCACCCCCTCATCTACCCACCCACCCCCTCATCTACCCACCCTCGCATCTACTCGCCCTCCCATCCACTCACCCTTCCATTCACTCACTCACCCACCCACTCATCCTCTCACCCATCCACACTCCCATGCACTCACCGACCCATCCACTCACTCACTCACCAATCCATCTACTCACCCACCCACCCCCTCACTTATCCACCCACTCAGCTCACTACTCGTCCACTCCCTCCCTCCCACCCACCTCCCCCCTCTCCCCATCCCCTACCCACCGCGTCTCCACCCACATCCCCACGTGTGGAATGGGTGGTGCCACACGCGATCAAGCGGGGCGCGTCTGCTCTGCGCGCTACAACGGAGCGCAGAGACTCAGAGCCCAGCGGCTATCGCTCCCTGAGGCAGTAGAGCCCCCCCCCCCACTCATACAAAGAGTGTTCTCAAGTCCCCCCCCCTCCATCCCCGAATTATAACCAATACCCTCCCCCCTCTCCCACCCCCCTCCACTCGCCCTGCAGCAGAGGGGGAGGAGGTGATGGGTCGTCGTCGTTGATGAGACGCGAGGATGGAGTAGTTGCGGAGTCACTGGTGGGAATCGAACCGGGCTGTTTGAGAAGAGCGGCTTGAGGATGGGAAGACAGGCGGACCCGTGATAAGGTGACGGTGATGCGAGGAATCATAGTGTACCAGTGTGTGTGTGTGTGAATGTTGCGAGTGTATGGTCGCGCGAGTGTGCGTAGTTGCGAGTGTACGAGTGTGTGGTTGTGAGTGTGTGGTTGTGTGAGTGCGTGGGTGTGTGAGTGCGTGGGTGTGTGAGGGCGTTGGTGTGTGAGTGCGTGGGTGTGTGAGTGCGTGGTTGTGAGTGCGTGATTGTGAGTGTGTGGTCCTGCACAGATGCCATATTTTCTGTCCGTCTGCTATAGCAGAGGTGTAGGGAATTCCAACAAGACCTACATTTCTGCTTTATTGACCTGGTCAAGGCCTATGATACCATCAGTAGGCCTGGGCTGTGGGTTGTTCTTCGTGCTTTTGGAGTCCCTGACCCTCTGCTCACGATCATTAAGGACCTTCATGATGGTGAGCGGGCCCGGGTAAACTACGTGGCCGGGAGTCAGAGCCATTCCCTGTACACCTTGGGGTGCGACAGGGATGTCCTCTGGCTCCCACATTATTTAACATCTATTTTGACCACGTAGTTCGTGAAGCCTTCAATAGCTGTACCGGGGGAATCTCCATTTGGTAGAAATATAATGGGAGGCTGATCGATGCCCGGGTGCGGTCAAGGGATGGCTCCCTATTGCTCAACCACGTTATGTATGCCGATGATTTGGTAATAGCTGCTCATTCAGAGGAGGAGTTGGAGACGTTGCTGCTGAGACTGGATCGTGCCACTAAGAGATGGGGCCTTACCATCAGCCCCACCAAAACTAAGCACCTGCCTGGGTATTTTGTACCATCGGACACTCCACCCCCACAACTCCCAATCGGTGATGGGGCAGTTGTGGAGAGAGTGGAGAGTTTCCCATACCTGGGCAGTGTGCTTATGACCGGCTCCAGTTTAACAGCAGAGGTCTCACTCCGAATCAGTCGAGCGGCCATATATTTTCATCGGTTGCGTAACGCTGTGTGGAAGCTACCTGGTCTGTCGCTCCGCACTAAGCTTCAGGTCTTTTCGGCCACGGTCATTCCATCTCTTCTCTACGCTTGCGAAACGTGGACCCTCTTAATGGAGCATCTTCGCCGGTTGGAAACATTTAGGCTGGCCTGCCTACGATCCATCCTGGGTTTAACCAGGCTGGATTGTGTGAGGAGCTCACAAATCCTTGAAAGATCTGGGCAAGGTCCCATCGGTGAGCTCCTCCGGCAGGCAAGGCTGCGTTGGCTGGGTCATGTAGCCCGCATGCCCAGCCACTGCATGCCGAAACAGCTTTTGTTCGGCCGGATCGAGGGAGCTAAACGGGCGCGGCACGGGCTAGAGAAGAGATGGAGTGATGTGGTACAGGCGGACGTGGAGCTGAGTGGACTTGCCGATGACTGGTACCAGCGGTGTCAAGATCGGCCTCTGTGGAGGAGGCTCGTGAAGGACGCTATTGGCCAGTTGGAGGCAGTCACCCTCCAACAACAACGGAGGGTGGAGGAGCGACGCTCACAACAACGAGCGGAGCGCCGGGTGGCTAAAGCACAGCAGGTTGGCACAGTAGGGGGCACAGGTGGTGCACCAGCCAGTCATCTCAGTCAGTCGACCCGTGGCACCTGGGTCTGCCCTGTGACCTCCTGCCCGCGGGCGTTCGACACTTCACGTGGCCTCAAGGTGCACATGGCCTGGCACAAGCGTCGTGGTGACGTCACCGCCACTTAGTGGCGAATGGCGGTTGTTGTTGTGTGTCTGTGTAAGTGTGTGGTTGTGTGAGTGTGTGGTTGTGAGCGTGTACGAGTGCTGAGAACCCGGCGACCCAACACCAGTGAGGATTATCTGAACCGGTCCTGGGCCTCCTCTAAGTCGACTCAGCATCAATTGAGTAACTGGTGTGGTGTGTAAACATCACCACTGGGAAGACAAAGGCGGCCAGGCGTGGTGTTGGCCACCCACCCTCTCGTTTACCGTTCGGACCTTCATAGATGCTCGCTAATAGCACTTGCCCCAACAGTCTGTTAAGGCTATATGGCGTATTTTTGTCTTGCGCGTGTGTGTGATGATGTATTTTATATCTAATTACGTGTGTTTAATGATGTGTGCTGTGTTTGAGTCTTAGTGTCGGTTGACTGTGTTTGAAGTATGGGCATTGGCAGTGTGCTTGCGAATGTGGGGAGCGGTGGCGCAGCGGTCAGCGCACTGCGCTACGAACCCGGCTAACCCGCGTTCCATCCCTGAACCGGTTCTGAGCCTCCCCTAGGTCGACTCAGCCGTAAATGAGTACCTAGTTCGGTACTGGAGACGGTGTGACGATGGTGTTTGAGGACTGCCACACTGTTGTTATTCTGTAGGTGCTCCTATTGTTATGTAGAGACTCCCATTGTTATTATACAGGGGGTCCTATTATTATGAAGGGGCTCTTATTTACAAAGCTTTAGATTGCAGGACACCCCCATATCACCTCGTCATTCCCTTGGGAAGGGGATACCTTCATCCAGCAGTGGAGTGACACACCCGCAAGTAGATTGACGATTTAATAAAGACAATTGCCTCGAAGCACCGTGAAATAGGATCAGCAGCAGCAGGTGGTGGCGGTGGTGGGTTGTGTGCATTGTGGGGAGCGGTGGCGTAGCCGTTAGCGCTACGCTGCGCTATGAATCCGGCTATGACCCGAGTTTGATTCCCGCTCACAACCACCAACACCAGTGACGATTATCGGTACCGGTCCTGGGCCTCCCCTAGGTCGACTCAGTCTCAAATTAATACCCAGTGAGGTGTGTAAACATCGACACTGGGGAGACAAAGGCGGCCGGGCATGGTGGTGGCCACCCACTTACTAGTGTGCCTTTACGACTTTCATAGGTGCTCGCTAACAGCACTTTCCCCAACAGTCTGTTAAGGCTACACGGCGGGGGGGATCTTTCTCTTTGGTGTGTGCATTGGGAGCAGTCTCCTCTTTCCAGCCCTCCGTCTCTCCTGCGCGCTCTCTCTAAATCAGCTCGAGCCCCTTGTACATCACGTGACTCCCGTGCATCACGTGACTCCTGTGCGTGCCCCCCCACTTTGAACCCCTCGCCCCCCCACTTTGAACCCCGCCCACTGTGACAACAGACACTGCTCCTCCGTGAAGCTCAATGCTGCTGCTCGCTCCTTTCTTCTCTCTTCTGCCCCTCGTCCCTCCTCTCATCACCATCATCACCCTCTCATCACCATCATCACCCTCTCATCATCACCATCGCCCTCTCATCATTACCATCGCCCTCATGATCACCATCGCGAACCCTCTCATCATCATGAACCCTCTCATCATGATCATGAACCCTCTCATCATCATCATGAACCCTCTCATCATCATCATGAACCCTCTCATCATCATCATGAACCCTCTCATCATCATCATGAACCCTCTCATCATCATCATGAACCCTCTCATCATGATCATCCTCTCACTATCCCCGACGTCTGGCCCCGGCCATTCCCTCTCCCCCTCCCCCACCTCCCCCCTCCTTGCACCGCCGCTTCTCCTCTCTCTCTCTCCCTCCTGCTGATCGTCTAGAGCCGTGCCCGACTCCTCCTTGTCCCTCTAAGAGACTTCCATCCCGGCCTCCCTTCCCTCTCCCGCTCATCTGGCTGCCCCCTCCCTCATCTGCCGCCCTCCCACGCTCTTCTCCCCAGTTCCATCGTCTCGTCATCGAGAACAGCAACAACAACAATAATTGGCACTTGTCATCTACATCGACAGTACGTCCTTAGATTCACACTGATTTCGTCACCGTGGATAGAGAGCGGGAAATCAACAGAACCGGTCCGTAAGAGGTTTTGTTGGGTTAGAGCGAGGGGATATCAATGTGTCGTTAAACTCGCCACCACCCGACACAGCCATGGTTTGTCACGTAAACGAAACGTGCCAATTCGTTACTTGTACGGCACTAACCGGCTGTGTGTTGAAGAGTAAAACCCAAAACAACATTTACACATCGAGTACCGTGACGTTTCGCCAGTAATGTGGCGAGTTTAACGACACATTTACATTTACTCGATTTAACACCAAACATCTCTATTGTGGATATTATCGATCGCAAAAGCCCCGCTACTACTACTACTTGTTAAACAAACAGAACCGTGCAGGGCAATCGGCCATGCGAGGCGGGCGGTGAAGACCAATTTAAATTGGTGAGTTTTCAAAACAGAACTTAACAGTTCTATCGACTCGGGCTGATTTACCAAAGGTACAAAGCGTTGTTCCATGGTCTGGGGAGCTGCACTGGCATCAGCACAATCATTCACCCACAAACTCACACACCCACTCTTTCACTCTTTCACTCATTCACCCACTCACACACTCACACACACACCCACTCTTTCACCCAGTCTTTCACCCACTCACTCACACTCACCCACCGACTCTTCCACTCATTCACCCACTCACTCACACTCACTCACCCACTCTTTCACTCATTTACCCACTCACTCAAAAGCTCATCCACTCGCCCACTGACACACAAGACGTAACTTAAATAGCTCTAACGACTCTGTCTGATAATATAACCAAAGGCAAAAAGCGTTTTTCCATTGTATGGAAGCTGCACTGGGAACAGCCCGATCACCCACCCACTCACTCACCCACTCACTCACCCACTCACCTACTCACTCATCCACTCACCCACTCACTCATCCACTCACCCACTCGCCCACTCAACGCACAAGACAGAATCTAAACAGCTCTGACGAACCCTCATTACCAAAGTCAAAGCGTTGTTCTAAAATTCTGGTAGCTGCACAGCGACAAGATCGCGATCACCCCCTGCAGGAACAAAGCCTTGTCCTAAGAGTCCTTAGAAGGCGGCGTTGTAGTCTCCTCTCCATACCACGGCCTGTCCTGGGTATACACCATGGGGTTGGTGCCACGGTGTTTATGGACGAATAGCGCCACCGCCGCTGCCACCACCGCCAGAAGTCGCCAGATGGACTCAATCTCCCGTCCGCGGCAGTTGAAATAATGAACAAAAGCTCCCGAGCCACGTGGAGCGAAACGTCGGACAGGCCGCACCCCCCCCCCCCCCTCCTCCCCATCGGAGAGAATTAGGATCATTCGCCTGTAGGTGGCACACACACGTGATGGGTAACGGCCCGGCCCCTGCAACTGCTCGCTCACGTCACTGCTGGAGGAAGGCTGGGGGCCTTCACGGTAAAGTGGAGCTTCGGAGAGTGTCATTTGATCTACTTCATGGATGTCGCGATGGCTAGATGTTAACTACCTCGCCTGGTATGCCGGAGGTCGTAGGTTCGACCCCGACCCTGACGCCTGTTTGTATATTTAGTGTGCGTGTTTGTCTTTCTCTCCCTCCCCGTGATCGCGTGGAATTTTCCTCCGAGTCCGTTATTTTTTTGCCTTCCACATTTAAAATCAAAGTCACGCGTTGGGAGTCTTTCTGCTGCTATAAATGTCCACACGGTGACGATCAGCCACATTGTTGATGGCCGGTCGCTTCTGAAATAAAAAGAGAGAGAGCTACTTAGCGCAGTGGGTCTTAACGTGGTAAAATGAAGTAAAAACGAATCGTTTATAGTTTATACTCTTTGGTTCTTTCGGTAAAGTCACGTAGGTATAAAATAAAACCTACGCGACTCTACCGAAAGAACCAAAGAGTATGGATTCCTGCAGTCACGAAAGCTTCAAATCAAGTTTATAGTCTAGTTCAATTTACCCCCACGCACACGTGATGACCTACCCGATCATCGTCGGTTCCACCGCTGCGCCCCCGGAGGATTGAACCGAAGCAGCGACCCTCTGAGAGGGGGGGGGGGGGGTTGCCGCCCCCATGGTGTTGTGGGTAGCTCGCGGTGCCACCACCACCCTCGCCACAGGTACGCGCCACGCCGCGAATTTAGCCGGACAATTTTAGGACTAAATTGAGCGCGACCGTGGAGAGGTCTGGATCAGAGGGAATTTTAGCGGTACCAAAGTTAATTGGTAATTACATTCCCCTACCCCTCCCTCCCCGCGATTTTTGTTTGTGAAGAGACAAGACCCAAATTAACTTCACACTCGCTGATCACGCCGGTCAGCTCATGACCGGGCGTCTCTGCGGTGTTGCTAATGATGGATATGCCGTGGATGCCACAGCTGTTGATCGCTATGCTGTTGTTGTTGCTGCTGCTCCTGATGACGACGATGACGACGACTGTGCATGCTGCTGCTGTTGACGATGTTGGCTGATCATTTTACTCTAGTCGCCGCTGCTGATGACACGATGGTGTTGTATTACCGCTGATGCTATTGTTGCTGATGATGCGTCTATTGCTACTGCTGATGATGATCATGATGATGATGATTGTATTGTAGTTGCCGCTGCTGATAACTTGACTGCTGCTGCTGTTACTGAGGATGATGATGATGATAATTATTCTGCTCGTTCATCAAGCCTCACTGAGTCTCAGGACTAATTTTCAGGAGGGTCCTGCCAACTTTTCGCACTGGTGGGAGGGAGGGGCGATATTGCTGCTGCTGTGTGATCGCAATTGAATGCTTTTACTTGTTGAGATGTTTTGGTTCAATACCAGTGACCTTGTAAACTAAACGAAACTTTATATTTTACCAGGTCAGACACACTGAGCTATATAGCTCTAGTTTTTTCCAAAAGCGACATGGCCACATGATAGCTCAACGAAGTGGCTTATCATCATCATCATCGTGTGGAAATTTACGGCAGCCAAAGACTCTAAACGCGTTGTGATGTCGATTCTGAATGTGGAGGGAAAACCCGGAGGACCCGGAGAAAAATCCACGCGACCACGGAGAGAGATAGAGACACGCAAACTCCAAATATACAGCAGACGTCAGGGTTGGGATGGAACCCACGACCTCCTGCATACCAGGCGAGAGAGTTAACATCTACGCGCCGTGAGATATTTTGGGAGGAAATCTGGAGACCCCCGGAGGAAACCCGCGCAGGACAGGGGGAGAGAGAACTCCACAAACACAGGCGCTCCCGTGTCTGAAATTAAACTCATGTGGTTCTTGCTGTGATGCACTCGTGTCACCAATGCGCTACCACCCAATTATGTTGATTTTGACGGTTATATGACAAGGGTGATGATGATGGATAATTATTGCAATCATTATTTCAACACATTGATGATTGGCATTCCCGCTCAATACTTATCATCTGACGATGATGATGACGATGATGACAATCGATTGATGCTGGTGGTTGGCCAGCATTGGTCGATTGCAGCAAGCTTGACAGTGCTCATGAGACACCGAGCGCCGAGGCGGGTCTATCGGGTGTTGAACACAATACGCACAAGTCACTATTATATGTTTAATAGACACGCACTCTGCTCGTCTATCTGGTGACAACCTCCTCCACGCGAATTATTGAGGTTGTGATCACTGTTGAGGTTGATAGGGCGGTGGTGGTGCGGTGATGATGATGGTGGCCGGTCTTAATAGGTGGTGCTGCTGCTGTTACTCGCTAACAGCACTTGCGCTAACAGCACTTGCCCTAACAGTCTGTTAGAAACTATACGGATGGGGTTTGGGGGACGGCATCTTTGTCTTTGTGGCTGATGGACGATGTCTCACCGCCGTGTCTTCTCTTCTTCTCTCGTTTCAGCTTCGTTACAAATTGCGAACATCATCACGGGACCCACTTCCTCATCACGAGTCCAGCCACGGTTGATTATTTATCCGCGCAAGAGGCAATCGACTCCCCCCACCACCCCACCCTTGCCCACGTGACACACGGATTGCGTCACAATAGGGGAGCACGTGCGCGCAAGACTGAATTATCACCCCGAGGGAAATAATCTGCTTTACCTGTCCTACTCGCTGCGCTATCTTAACCACCACAACAACAGCAACATCGTCAACGACAATTTAGCAACAGAAAAAAATAACCCCCAACCCTGATGAGCTCCGGAATTGAAGACGCACGCGTTCAGAAGCACAAGGACACAAAAACACACAAATTCGAAAATATACATAGACAAAGCCGTCCTACTTGCAGTGCTATCACAACAACAAAAAGTCAAAGATCCCCCATATAGCCTCTAAAGGACTATTGGGGCAAGTGCTGTTCGCAAGCACCTGGCTATTTTGACCAGTACGGCACACGAGGGGACGACGGGTCGCTAGCATCACGCCACGCCCGGCCGCCTTTGTTTCCCCGGTGCTAATGTTTATGCACAGCTCCACCAGGTACTGATCTTAAAGGCTGAGTCGACCTAAGGGAGGGCCGAGGATCGATTCAAATATTCGCCACTCATTTGTTCGTGAGCGGAGATCTAACTCGGGCCGCCGGGTTTGTATCGCAGTACGCTGACGACTGCTCCACCGTTCCCTCCACAACAAAACACCACCAACAACAACAACAGCCGCTTGTGCCAGGCTAGGTGCACTCTGAAGCAGCCAGGTGAAGTGTGGAGGGCTCGCTACAGATACATTACCACAACCACCACCAACAACGAGACATGCTGGATTTATAATCTTTCGGACGTTCGCTCGCCATTCGCTCGCATCAGCGTCAGCATCGATCGCAGGGTCCTGGCCGATTCTTCGACTGACCACTGGCGGCGTGGTGGTGGCATGAACGTGAAGGCCGGATGTCTGCTGAGAGCACCTACCCGGGATCGAACTTGGGAGCTTGTATCTTGCGGACTGTCCAACTTTGTCTCTCCCAGACGCAGGACTGGAGAGGGAGGTGGTAGACGAAGGCTGATTGTTGCTGCTGCTGGTGGCTGTGGTGGTGGTGGTGGTGGTGATGGTGGTGATGGTGGTGATGGTGGTGGTGGTTGCCAGGTAAATATCAAACGAAGCAAAAGCTTAAGGGAGAAATTAGGGCTGAATACATTTTAAAAAACAACAACTCGAATTCACAACATAATTATCATAAACTAAATCATTATCATAAATTAATCTCCCCCCCTCTCTCTCTGTTGCTCGATATTTGAAATTGGGAGCGAGGGGGGCAGTCCTTTCGTGCACTACCCTCTACCTGCTAAACAAGAATAATAACTTCTGACGAAGGCCCATAGTTGGCTAGCATCAGTTTGTTGTCCTTCCCCTGCACCGCCGACTAGCACGGTTGGCTACGTACGGTGCGAAAGAAGTTTAACATACATCGACCACTGTGGTTGTGGTTTTAGTGGTGGTGGTGCAGTATTGCCACCTGTCGATTAACGGGGGAAGTCAGTAGCAAGCCCATCAGATTATCGTTCTAAAAATAAAATCATCAAGTCATACACATTTATATATTTACAGACCCTTTGCCAATCCACTGCTGGATGAGGGCCTCACCACTCCTTGTTTGTCTATCAAGGGGGTTGTTGGCTATACGTCACCGCGCTGGCCACTGATGTTAGCTTCAGGTAGCCCAGGTTGAAAGTGGAGGGCGCTAACCACTGCGCCACCGCTCCCTCACCTCGAATTAAACAGGCAAATACTGTTACACAGAAAACAAAGATCCCACGGGTAGCCTTACCAGCTTTTTGTGGCAATGGCCGTTAGCGAATATCACCAATGAAGACCGGCACGGGACACAAGGGGTGACCAGCACCACGCCCGGCCGTCTTTGTCTCCCTTGTGGCGATGTTTACACAGCGCAGCAGGTACTCATTTGAGGCTGAGTCGACCTAGGAGAGGCCGAGCACCGGTTGAGCTAATCGTGACAGGTGGGCGAGAATCTAACTCTGGTAGCCGGGTTCGCAGCGCAGCGCGCTAACCACTACACTGCCGCTCCTCACACACGCGTGCAAAGAGACGCACATATAGTCGCACACACACAAATCAGACACCTGCACACACCTACCCTACAGACACAAACGCCATCACTCCATCACCACCACGAGACGCGAGGACGAGAAGGATGATGACGACGTCGGGCGACGGAACCGCCGTGGCGTGCGTCGAGGTGACTGTGTGGGAATGCGAACCCGAGACTCCGAGTCGGCGGCCGTGGCATGGACTGGGACCCTGCCAGGGGATGGGCGGAGTGGCGGGCCTCACGTTGGCTCAGCACGGCGGCAGCTTCATCGCGGGTCAGTTCCTCGTGCCCAGCCACGGCTCAGCGGCCGGCGCCGGTGGCGGTGCCGTTCGTCCGCGTGGATTTGGGAACGGCTCGGCAGGATCTGGCTCCGGCTCGGGCTCGGGGGACGTTGCAGGCGGGGAGGAGAGCCCCCCCCCACCAGCGGAGGTGGAGGAGGGGGCGGGCGGTGGCCCGGGCACCGCGCCCGTGGCCCCCCGACGGCGATGCGCGGTGCTGGACCCGCACGACATCATCCGAGCGCACGAGGCGCACAAAGCGCGCAGCACCCCCAAGGCGCGCCGCAAGGAGTGGGAGTGAGTGGCCGCTGTACCACACACACACACGTGTGTGCGTGTCTATGGAAAGTGTTCACGTGGGGTTGCCAACCTTGAGACTTTTCCGGGGAGAATTTTTTTTAATGAATTCTTTTTTTTCATTTAAATTCCCAAATCATTCAAATGTCTAGGATTTCTTTCAATATTCACCGGAAGATGTATACCAATCCCTGCAGAGAGTTCCAGACAATACAGGAGGGTTGGCAACCCCATGTCCATGGCTGGTGACCATTACTCGTGACGAGTACGCGTGACTATTAACATCGCTTGTGACGACTGCAACTGGCGTCACCATTAGGCGTGCCTGTAGTGACCATTCATATAACTCGTCATTATAACTAGTGACTTATCACACACGCGTGACTTATCACACACGCGTGACTGCGACTTGTGTAACGCAGAGGCCAGAATGCTGTGCAGAAGGTGCATTGTCCAAAACGTCGGACACCGGCCACGATGTTATTGATGAATGTGTTGAGAATTATGTTTCGTTACCGCCGTACAAAGAACGTGTAAACAAAATATACACACGCATAAAGACAAAGATTACGCATGTAGCCTTAACATGCTTTTGGGGCAAATGCTGTGAGCGAGCACCTATGAAGGCTGGTACAGCACACAAGCGGGAGGGTGGCCAACACTACGCCTGGCCGTCTTTGTCTAACCGAGTGGCTATGTTATACACCTCACCAGGTACTTATTTGAGGCTTATTCGATCTACAGGAGGCCCAGGACCGGTTAAGATAATCGCCATTGGTGTTGGCCGCGAGCGGGAATTGAAATCGAGTCGCCAGGTGCGTTGCCCAGCGCGCTAACCGCTGCACTCCCGCTCCCAACCACACACACTACACTCACCTCACCAGTAGAGGGCAACATGGTTCCACGGACGTGAACATGCTGTGCACGAACTCTGCTATTCCACATTGGCATCGCACTACTCAAGGGCATCAGCGAAGATGTGCAGGAGCTCGACGATGCCCAATGTGGAGGTCGTGCCAGCGCAGTATTATCCAATAAGCCACAGTAGGCAGTGTGCCTAGGGCCCACTCACTCACCCAGCCACCCACTCACTCACCCAGCCACCCACTCACGCACCCACTCACTCACCCAGCCACGCACTCACTCATCCAGCAACCTACTCACTCACCCACTCACCCAGCCACCCACTCACTCACTCACTTACCCAACCACCCACTCACTCACTCACCCACTCACTCATCCAGCCACTCACTCACCCACTCACTCACCCAACCACTCACTCACCCACTCACTAACCCACTTACTCACCCAGCCACCCACTCACTCACCCAACCACTCACTCACCCACTCACTCACCTACTCACCCAGCCACCCACTCACCCACTCACTTACCCAGCCACCCATTCACTCACCCAACCACCCACTCACCCACCCACTCACTCATCCAGCCACTCACTCACCCACCCACTCACTCACCCACTCACTCACCCACTCACTCACCCAGCCACCCACTCACCCACTCACTTACCCAGCCACCCACTCACTCATCCACTCACCCAACCACCCACTCGTTCACCCACTCACTCATCCAGCCACCCACCCACTCACTAACACACTCACTCACCCAGCGACCTACCCACTCACCCACTCACTCACCCAGCCACCCACTCACTCACCCAGCCACCCACTCACTCACCCACCCACTCACCCAGCCACCTACTCACTCACTCACCCACTCACCCAGCCACCCACTCACTCACCCAGCCACCCACTCACTCACCCAGCCACCCACTCACCCACTCACTCACCCAGCCACCCACTCAATTACCCAGCCACCCACCCACTCACCCACTCACTCACCCAGCCACCCACTCACCCACTCACCCAACCACCCACTCACTCACCCACCCACTCATTCATCCAGCCACCCACCCACTCACTCACCCACTCACTCACTCACTCACCCACTCACCCACTCACTCACCCACTCACTCACCCAGCCACCCACTCACTCACCCAGCCACCCACTCACTCACCCACTCACCCAGCCACCCACTCACTCATCCAGCCACCCACCCACTCACTCACCCACTCACTCACCCACTCAGTAACCCACTCACTCACCTAGCCACCTACTCACCCACTCACTCACCCAGCCACCCACTCACTCACCCAGCCACCCACTCACTCACCCAGCCACCCACTCACTCACCCACCCACTCACCCAGCCACCTGCTCACTCACCCACTCACTCACTCAGCCACCGACTCACTCACCCAGCCACCCACTCACTCACCCACCCACTCACTCACCCAGCCACCCACTCACTCATCGACTCACTCACCCAGCCACCCACTCACTCAGCCACCCACCCAGTCACCCAACCACTCATGCACCCACCCACCAGGGTCGTATCATCCAATAGACCACAGTAGGCACTGTGCCTAGGGCCTGATGATGGAAGAAGAAAAACAATGAATAAAATGCAGCCAAGATATCTTCTTGGATAAATATATTTATATATAGCAAGGATAGGCACAGTGTTTATACAAAGAAGCAGAGTCATGTCAATGTCAATCTTTTTTTTTCATAAGGTGAGAGAAATTAAACACCGGAGATTAACTTTTCGAGATTTTCTCATTGCAAAATTAGCAAATCAACATCTTTATATGGTGCTTTTTCCCACAATCAAGCGAGTGACAGCGGTGGTAGTAGTTGCATTGTGCAGCAGCAGTACCAACTGTTGAAAGTTATCACTGAAGGTTCAACGGCTGCCGTAGTCATCTCAGTGGGTCAACCCCATGGCACTTCCTGGGTCAGTCCCGATACTTCCTGTTTAGCACGGAGCCTTCAAAATTTCACGTGGTCATCAAAGTGCACCTCTCCTGGCACTGACGCCTTGGCGACGTCAGAGTCCTTTAGTGGCGAATGTCGGGGTTACTGGTAGTGATAAATAAATTAAATTCCTCCTCCCCGAAAAAAAATGGGGACTAAGTCCCGAATTAATCCGGATATATGACGTCACCTGCGCATTGTCCCACGTGGCGTCGGGTCGACGTCACTTTTGCGGGCGCGAGAAAGTGGTGACATTAATAATCCCAAAAATTCCAATAACAAATCCGAAATTCTCCTAAAAATTCCAAAAACAGACCTGAAATTGTCCGAAAAATACCAATAATAGATCCGAAATTGTCCTTAAAATTCACAAAAAAAATCTGAAATTGTCCTAAAAAATCGATCCGAAATCGTCCTAAAAATCCCCAAAACAGATCCGAAATTGTCCTAAAAATGCAGAAAACAGATCTGAAATTGTCCTAAAAAAATCGATCCGAAACTGACCTAAAAATCCCCAAAACAGAACCGAAATTGTCCTAAAAATTCCCAAAACAGATTCGAAATTGTTATAAAAATGCAAAAAACAGATCCTAAATTGTCCTAAAAATGCAGATTACAGATCAGAAATTGTCCTAAAAATCCCAATAATAGATCCGGTATAGTCCTTAAAAATCCCCCAAAAAAGTGAGAAATTGTCCGAAAAATTACCAAAACAGATCTGAAACTGTCATAAAAATGCAGTTAATATAATTGAAATTGTCCTAAAAATCCAAGGAACAGATTTGAAATTCAAAAAATCCCCAATAAAAATCAGAAATTGTCCTAAACATCCAAAAAACTGATTCGAAATCGTCCTAAAAGTCCGAAAACAGATCCGAAATTATCCTAAAAATCCCCAAAACAGATCTGACATTTTGATTTAAAGCTTTCGTGACTGCAGTAATTCATATTCTTAGTTTTTTTTCGGTAAAGTCACGTTGAAGAGAAACCACAAAATAACAAAATATATATAAAACAATAAAAAATTCTCACGACGTTTCGACCATAACTCAAACGGTCATCATCAGGTGTGTTGGTTTGCATAAATTTATTTTTAAACGGCACATTTATTTATTTATAAAAAACGTTGGCGTCACGCGCAGCGATTTGGCAGTTTGCCCAGGACTAGTCCATCTATTTTTTTTTTTAAAGAGGAGGAGGTTCTTTGTAAGCCATCTGGCTTCCATGAGAGATTCGTTCATGAGGCTATCCACATATACAAGCACAGAGACAATTTCAACCGAGAAGATGGATTCTATCTTAGCAATCATTGGAAAGATTTGATAAACCATTTCAGTTCTTAATTGATTGTTCACGCTTACAGTGGCTTTCAGACAGCATACATTATAAAAAAATTCGTCTCCCCCCTCCTCTTTAAAAAAAAATAGATGAACTAGTCCTGGGCAAACTGCCAAATCGCTGCGCGTGACGCCAACGTTTTTTAAATAAATAAATAAATGTGCCGTTTATAAATAAATTTATGCAAACCAACACACCTGATGATGACCGTTTGAGTTATGGTCGAAACGTCGTGAGAATTTTTTTATTGTTTTATATATTTTGTTATTTTGTTGTTTCTCTTCAACGTGACTTTACCGAAAAAAACTAAGAATAAGATCTGACATTGTCCTAAAATTCCGAGAACAGATCCCAAATTGTCCTAAAAATCCCGATAACAGATCCGAGATGTCCTAAAAATCCCAATAACAGATCCTAAATTGTCCTAACAATCCCGGTAACAAGTTCCAAATTGTTCTAAAAATTCCGAAAATCAGAATTACGATGAATTGCCTCCATTCCCGCTTTCTGTCGGCTTCAGCGTCACACTTTTTTAAAAAAACGTATCCAAAAACGAGGCCTACATTAGATGCAATAGCGCTCTGAACGTGGGTTTCCTCTAGTCGTGTTTCTGCCGTGGGAATGTGGAATTTCCCCGTGGTTATAGCGAGCGCGCTGAGCTTCGACCCAGCGACCAAAGTTAATTTCCCACCCACGACCAAAACAACAGTGGTGAATATTTAAAACGATCCTGGGCCTCACATGAAGTCGACTCAGCCTAAACAAATTCAAACCTAGCGCGGTGTGTAAACATCAGTACTTGGGAGACAAAGGCGGCCGGGCGTGGT